GAACGGTGTGCACTGTTGGAGCTCAGAGAGCAGCACTCCTGAGCTCTTGTACCCTGAGTCTCAGATTCAAGGTCTCTCCGACCCTCTCGCTCCAGCAGCCTGTTCTCTTTGCCTCCTGAAGCCCAAGGAAGGAGTGTCCTTCAAGTCCCCTAGGGAATGAAGGGAAGGCTCTCCAGGAGGAATGTAATTGTTTTGAGTGACTCCCAGAAACAGCATGGAACAGAGAACATGAAGACTGCCGCCTAAGAAGTTTTGTTTGTACTTTAACACACTCTTTTCGTCACACTTTCACTCCTCCACCGGCCGGATTGCCACCTTCCACCCGAAGCCCAAGTCCCTATTCTGCAGTTCAAAACTCTGTTGAAGCTGCAATCATCTGCCCCTTTTGTGATTCTCATAATTTGTGTAACCCCCATGTGGTTTCCCCTTCTGTTAACTGTTGTTGGTTTCTTTCATAGACTCACATATTGAGTCTTTGGAAATTGAAAGTAAAATTTCCTATATCCCCAAAAGGTGAGAATAGTCCAGTAAAAATGCTCACGGGTGACAGCCACCTCCTTTAACACTAGCATTGCTGTGATTCATGATTTCGGTCCTAAGGTTCCACTTTGGATTCATTTCTCTGCTAATGTGCCTGAAAAGCCGTGAAAGATGGCTCAAGTACTGGGGCAGCTCCTAGCTTCAGACTGGCTTTGCACTGTTACATCCCTTAAGGAATGAACCAATAGAAGGAATCATCTTTCTCCCTCTGTGTGTGTGTATGCAAGTGTATAAATTTGCAAATCATAAAAATTTTTTTACTCGTAATTAATTTTAAAAGAGTTGATGATTATCTGAATAAATGCAGGCAAAGCATTTGAAAACATACAATATTCTTTCGGGATAAAAAGAAAGCATTAAGCAAATTAGGTATAGAAGGAACATTCCTTAACACAAATCAATGCTACACAGGGCAACTCCACAGTCAGCATCATATTGAATAGGAAAAATCTGGAAGGGACTCCAGTAATATCCAGAATCAAGCAAGGATGCCCACTTTCACCATTATTATTCAATATAGTTCTAGAAATGCTACCCAATGTCATTAAATTAAAAATAAAAGGGATAAAAAATTGCAAACGGGGAGTTCAAATCAGCACTGTTTACAGATGGCACCACCCTAATTTGGAAAACCAGAAAATTCCACAAAGAAATTATTGCAGCTTTTAAGAAAGTTTGATAAAATTGCAGGATATAAAATCAACACACAAGAACCAACAGCTTTTGTATACACAATGCTGGGGGGAAAAATTGTAAGATTAGTCCCATTCAGAATAACTACAAAAAATTTAAACACCTTGGAAAGAACTTTACAAAGAAGATTAATATACAATATAAACAAAATATTTAAAAAAATAAGGTACAAAAAATGGAAGTATCTTAGAAGAATTAATATCATCAAAATCTCAAGATGCAAGAGCAGTTTACAAAATCAATGTGATCCAAGGGAGAATAAGAAGGATATTATTCTGATATCTGGGGGGGAAATAAAAGCCAAAATTCATATCACAAGAGACCCCATATTTCTAAGCCATCTTAAACAAAAACAAAGCCAGAGCATTACAACACCAAATTTCAGGACATAGCACAAAACAGTAGCAATCAAAACAAACTTGTAATGGCACAAAAATAGACACCCAGACCAATGGAACAGAATAAAAGCTACAGAAACCAATGCATGCATCCACAACCAACTAATCTCTGATCAATGAACTGAAATAAACGGTCCTGGGAAAATTGGAAATCGACATTCAGAAGTCTGCAGCAAGATCCTCAACTTATATTTCATACCAAAATCAAATCTAGAACCTGATACCAATGAATTACTAGAGGAAAATTTCAGGGAAACACTGCAAGGTATTGGCACAGGCAAAGACTTATTTGGTAAAGACCCCAAAATCACAGGCATAAAAGCAAAAATAAACAAATGGAATTACATCAAGCTAAGAGGCTTCTGCAAAGAAAACACACTCAACAAAGAGGGAACAGAATGAGAGAAAATATTTATAAATTAGTCAACTGAGCAATACCCAGAGTCTATAAAGAACTCAAAAAACTCAACAATATAACAATTCAGTTAAAAAGTGAGCAATGACATGAAGAGGAATTTTTCAAAGGATGAAATACAAATGGCAACAGACACATGAAGAAATATTCAGGATCATTAGCCATCAGGTACATGAAAATAAAAACCACAATGAGGTTTCATCTCATGCCAATTAGAATGGCTACTATAGAAACAGAACAAAACAGTAAATGCTGGTGAGGGTGTGGTGAAGAGGCACCCTTCTTATCTGCCGGGGGGAATGTAGCCTGATGCGAGCATCGTAGAAGACAACGTGGAGGTTCTTCAGAAATCTGAATATGTCTACCATATGACCCAGCCAGCACACTCCCCGGAATTTACCGAATGAAATAAAACCAGTGTATGAGAGTTTGTATATGTATGTATCCCAAATTACTGCAGGTCAATTCAGAAGAGCTAAAATATGGAACCAATCTCAATATCCATCAACTGATGACTTGATAAAGAAAATGTAATACATATGTACTGTACACACACACTCACACACTAAAGACTACTACTCAGCCATAAAACAAACATGACCCTATCTTTGCAACAAAAGGAATACAGATGGTAACCATTGTGCTTAATGAAATAAACCAGTCTCAAAAAGACAAATATCATGTTTTCCCTGACTTATGGCAATGAACATACAGAGTGCAAAAAAGTATCGTCTATCTGTATGTGCCCATCTGATAGTTTGAGATTTGAATATTGTTCACAGTCCTTGGTACTTTTTTTCTGGTTACTGTATGTTGGATTATTTACTTAATGGATCACTGTTTCTCAATCTGTTTATATAAACTACATGAAATGTGTTCACCTTATATCAATACAGTAATATAAAGAAAATACATCAACTAGGATTGAATTACAGATATTATGCCTACAATACAAGACATCAAAGAATTCTGTTAAAAACCAAAACAGAGAACAAGTCAAGCTTAATCTTGAAAATGCTCCTAGCAGCTTTCTCACTGAAAAAAATGCTAGAAGCCATATCAAAGTGAACATCAGGAAAACATGTTTTGTAAGAGTATGAAAAATAGAACAGTTGAAAATCTGACACTTTCATATATAAAATTCATGGAAATATCTATGATACAAAATTAAAAACAGTACCACCATTTGGAATCATGTGAAATATTAATAGCAGGAAAAAGAGAAAAGAGTCCTCAAATTCTTAGCTTTTTTTCCTTCCTACTTTTCTGTACTATTCTGTTTTTTTCCCCCAAACTTTTCTAAAGTACATTTATTCCTTTTGTATTTAAGAATAAATCCATTAAACATTCATTAAAATGAAGAACAGCCATATACCTCTAATGTAAAAAGAAGTTATAGCTTACCAAAGGCACTTTTCTCTATCTTTCACATTAACTGGTATTTTCCCTTCTGTTTTCATACATGTTGCATCTGTTTATAGTTTTAATCTTCATGTTTAAAAGGTAGCAGTTCTGTTTATTGACTAAGCTACCAGAATGCACAGACTGTGGTATTACTCCCTGTCCTGTGAAAGCAGGCCCCGCTCGTGAGATCATCACAGGCTCTCACCAACTCCTTTGGCTGCACTCGGACATGCTGGAGCATGGATCCTTCAGCCTAAAGCGATCAGCACTCACTTAAAAATGCTATGAGGTTCTGACTCTTAAAGAAAGGAGGTGGCATTGTGGTCCAGTAACTTAACAGACCACTGTTGGCAGGCCTCATCGCAAAACAACGCTACTTGGAATTCTGCTTGCTGTGCCTCAGCTGCTGGTGCCTGCTGGTGCGCATGGGAAGGCTGGAAAGAAGGCCCAAGTCCATGGTCTGCTGCCAGCCATGAGGGAGACCCAGCTGAAGTTCCAGGTTCCTGGCTTCAGTCAGCTGCAGCTCAAAGAGCTACAAGGGTTGTTTCTTTTTTTTTGGAAAGTCAGATACCTCTTTCTGTCAGTCATCCTTTCACACACATGTGTATGCAAATCATATTTTTTAATTAAAACAAGAATCAACTGAAAAAAATTTAATTTTTCTGCTTATTTGTTGATTTTTAATATCTGATAGAATATTAAATCTGTGAATGTAAAGTGAACTGAAAAACTTCAGGCAAAAAAGAAAACAAGAAGGACCAATGTGAATTGCAACACAGGCTGGAGGACAGTAGTATGGGCAGTTCTCACTGCGTCTTCAGTATTGCTTTGGGTCAGCTCAGCTCCAGACACTGCACTCATTTGGGAAGTGAAACAACGCATGGAATGTCTCCCTCCTCCCTCTCTTCTCTCTTCTGTCTTCTCTCTCTCCCTACTTTTCCCCCTCCCTGTTTTTCTCTCTCTCCTTTCGTCCTCCAGTCCTCCCTTCTTTTATCCTCCTCTCTTTTACCTCTGCCTTTCAAACAAAATAATTTTTAAAAACCTTTTTTTATAAAAACCTTGTAAAGTCCTGATTAATTAATACAGGCCCACGCCCAATGGTCTGCCTGAACTGTGAAGACATACCTAACTTTGATGTTCTTCTGGGAGCCTCCTCGCTCCTTCCGTTTGTACCAGTGGTCGCAGATTTCATAAACCACAAACCAAGTTTCCATTCCACTTTGCACGCACACATTTTGTTTTAAGAAGCTATTCTTTTTGTGTTGCATGCAGTTGGGCTAAACTTACAGCAACACACCAGAGAATAAATGGGTCTATTAGTATATATGATAGAGGCGTGCATACAGAGAAACATCATATGACGCCAACTGGAGGCTGAGAAACAAATATTTAAACATGATCCTTTGTTGTTTCTTTCAGTTTCTGGAAATATTGTAAGGCTATGCAATACTAAGAATGAGAAGATTCAAAAGCTATACATTTTTTTTTTCTGAAAACCAATTTTGCAAATAGACACACACCCCACATGCACACACTTGCACTTGTCCTACCAGTAATGCTGTTCCTTTCATTCACCTCGAGAGGTCATGACTAGTCAATGCAATCCTCTTGTGGCAACAGCTGCTCCATTCACTTCCTCCGCCTAGTGTTTCCCAAACTGTGCAGTCAGTGCATTCCTCCCAGAGGCAGGAGAGGCTTGGCTAAGGGAAAGAGAAAAGCCAGAAGACAGGACTGTCAGCTTCCACCAGCCAGAAGATCTCTCTAAAATGTACGGTTTGTGTATTGGTCTTTCAAGAAAAAAAAAATTAAGGGGGTTTATCTCTACTTAAAAGAGTAGGAGCTAGCCACTTTATATAAATACAATAAATGTAGATACTGAGATTTGGGTATCACAGGTACTGAGAGTTCTCCATCATGACAAAAGGTACAACTAATGTTATACAGATGTAGATACCTCCAGCACTGTAGTTCAGAGTGTACTCCAATTCCTGTTACTCCTTTATTAGAAAGAGGGATTCTGTTCATGCTTGATCAACAAATGAGTTCTGCATTTGTTAGGAAGTAAAATTAAAATTTAGACATGCGCTGACGCTCCCTCTGGAGGTGGATCACTCGGGCTCACAGTCTCCATGTGGAATTGCACCAGTACCGAGCAGAAGCTCAGCATGCAAATGAGCCTCTTTTTGTTCCCACGGAGACCCCTTCAAGGCACTCCCTTTATAGGTTATAAATAATGAAGGTAACACCTGGCTAGCGCCTTCTGGTGAATGTTAGCGATGGGAGGCTGTTAGGACTGGAACTACCCTCCACATCAGGAGCTAAAGTTAATATGACCTTGTTAATTTGACAATTTTGTCCTTTCTCACAGCCACCAAAGGCCAGAAGAGAAAATACCTTCTCATTCTTCCCACTCGCCATCTTCAAAGTGGGTTTCCCATCTTTCTTGCATTTAGATTCCACGCTTCTGCCGGGGATAGCAAGTTCAGCGAATTTTCCAAGTGAAAAAAAGTGACTCCAAAGAATATAAATGTCAAACACATGTAAATTCCTTCTGTGCCATTTTTCTCCCCAGGTCAGGCATGTCCTTCGTTGTCTCCCGGTAGGTTTCAGCTGCCAGACATCTCTGGTTGAGGAGCCATCATGCAGACAGTGTCTTTACAATGTAATGACAATCGGTAACAAAAAATGTGCAGGCGCTGATAACAGGCTTCAGAAGGGGCAGCACGCGCTGGGGGGAAATGGGCATTTCAAAGCGGCACGGAGCCATCGCCACCGACCTTGGCTTAAGATCGCATCCGAAACATTTATTAATTTTCTGCTATAAAAACAGAAGGAAGCCAAGTCAACACTGATAAGGGGTCATTCTAGAGAAGAGGAGAATACTGTTTCAACGGCATTTCTGCAGATAAGTTAAATGCAGCTTTCCTCCGTGTTCAGACAGAAAGCAGCAAGGGCTGAGGCTGCAACAAGACACATCCCCAGGGGTTCCCTTCTTGGAAGATGCTTCTACAGTTTCTAAGAAGTTGAAGCAAAACATAATGAGATAACAAAGATTTCAGCAAACCTTAAGAACGCCACCAAGCCCATATCCCAAACAGATGCTACATCCAGGAAATAACTATACAAACAGGAAAACAATATCAGCCACTCCCTTTTATACAGTAACTACTGTAATTTAGGCACTCATTTCATCGAAATTACTTCAAGCTAACAGATACCTTCTACTTCGCAGCTGAACAATCAGACTGTAACAATTATTCATGATCAAGCCTTATTACTCATGATAAGCCTCATGGTCTTATTCCTACTTAAAAACACATTAAGATCCAAGAACGCTGAGTGTTTGGAGAAGACGCCAAGGATCTGAGACCTGTGGCTGCTTGGAGACAGGCGGCGTACTGGGCTCTGCAGGAGTCGGAGAGAAGCAGCTGAGGTCAACACTCGGGAAGCAAAGCTTAGTTTTCACCAAAATTCTGCTAAAGACAATTTGGAGTTTCTACCTCTAGGTATAACCGAGAAGTGTGATTCGTAAGTAAACATCCCTCTAAACAACAAAAACTATGTAAACGAAACTTTAAAATGTTTAAATTGTTCCTATTACTCAGGGAACTCTAAGACAGGCTTGATCGTATCAAATCCTGAAAAGGAGGGAAATGTAGTATGAAATTTCATACCTATTTATTTTCTACACTACACCCTTGCCTACTATGACAGGGAAGCAGAAAGACAGATAAGTCAAAACATTTTAAGGATCTCTGACTTGAAAAAATTAAAATAAACAAGCTTGTGTTATTAAGGAAGCAAAAATTTAGGAGGAAATACACTTCTAGATAAATATTAAAATATGGTAATGTGTCACACAGTGACATTTTGAAAAAATTACAGAAGTTCTTATACTGTAGGAAGGTGATTGCTGGTAGGTTAACACTAACAGCCATGCAAATTACCAAGACAAGAAAGGGTCAATATTTGGGTAAATATAAATATTGATTATGTAATTAAATTTATGGGAATAAGACATCTAGGTGTTTGTGTGTAGATGAAAAAATATATTTGATAAATACTTTGAAAATATTATAATCATAATATAAAAGCTAGAAGAAAACAATAAAGAGTGTTTGCTAGGTTCTTATTATAACAAATAAATGAAAAAAGTTACTTAGGAAGGAAAAAGGCTTAAGTCACCTCAATGTCTGGAGCTGCGCAGGGCAAGATAATTATGGATGCAGTTGGAATCTGATTTGTTTCCCCAACACATGCAGATACCTAAACCACAAAGCCATGTCCCCGCAGTCCTGAGAGGTGGGGACTTACTCCATTTATGGTATCAGAAAGTAGAGCCTTTGGGAGGTGATTGCATTGGCTTAAATGACTTGGGGTAGAGGAATGATGGAACCGCGAAGGCTTTGCCAGGACAGACCATGGGATGAGGTGCTTCCTGTCTCCCAACACTACCAGGCTCACCACATAGCTCTCCCCCTGCACCTGCTTGCAGCTCACCTTTGCGGACCTTCCCACCCCACCTGCCCCCCAATCAGGAGCCATGTCAATGGATTCCCTGTCCTTCCCCAGATCCTCTAGCTGAAGCCAAGGTCTGCTGACACTCTGATGTGGACCCTGTGAACACCATGTCAGAGTTCTGACTCCCAGAAGTGATAAGGTAACAAAACTGTCCTGCTTTAAGGCACTAGCATTGCAACAGTGCTACCACAGCAATGGGACATTATCTATCCAATTAATATTTGCTTCTCGACGTTTCTGTGCCCAAGATGGGCAAGGAAATCTCCAGCATTTACCAAACGCTCTATAGAGATCTTTGTTATTACCTAATTGATTACGGTGTCTATGAAATTGAAAAAGTCAAGCGACCTGCCAAAGCCTGACTTGGTTTGTGTGAGCGTTAGAGATTAAGTCTCAGCATCCTCATGAGGTGAGTGCTCCCAGAATAATCTTGGTGCAGACAGGTGCATATATACATGTTCATACATGTTGTCATGGTCTCGATGTGTTTGCTCTTGGCCTAGCACAACATTTCAGCAGCTAATTCCTCATCTTGTAAGCACCAGGGTCCAATATGAATGCCAGTTCATGTCCCAGCTGCTCCACTTCCCAGCCAGTTCCCTGCTTGTGGCCTGGGAAAGCAGTACAAGAAGATCCAAAATCTTGGGACCTGCATTCACATGGGAGACCCAGAAAAAGACTCCTGGCTTCAGATGATCAGCTCAGCTCAGCTCTGGTTGAACCAGCAGATGGAAGATCTTTTTCTCCATAATCTAATCTGCCTTTCTAATAAAAATAAATCTCTTTTAAAAACACAAAACATTGTTCTTAATGCTGTGGTACTGTGAGGTGAGACAGATGTGTTGGTGGATGAATGGGCTATCAAGGGAACATTTTGTTTTTATAAAAGTGAGCTCCATGTCTCACAAGTGCTGTCCTCAACCATGGGAGAAGACTGTCAACAAAAATTAAGCAGATGCTGGCACATGCCCTTGAATTTCTAGGTCTCTGCTATCAGTCAAAATAAACCTCTCTTCTTGATAAACGACCTAGACTTTGGTATCAGGTAGAGCAAGAAGAATAGGCCAAGACACAAACTTGTATTACATATGAATATAAATTTATAGTGCACTGCAAAAAATTGGGGGATGCAGGTGGGCATTTGCAATAGTAATCAAGCTCTCCTTCTATGCCTGTACCACTTATCGGAGTACTGGGAGTGGAGTCTCAGGTCCATCCGTATCCCAGGTATCTGCTGATGTGCATGTGGCAAGCAGGTGATCGAGCAGCTGGATCCCTGCCACTCACGAAGCAGATCTGTATTGAATTCTTGGCACTTGGTTTCTACCTAGTACCCTTTGGACTATTGTAGATACTTGGTAAGTAAACCAGCAGGTGCTAACAGTATGTGACAATAATTAAAAAAAAATAAACCTATGTGAGTTATCTTTTGGCACATTTTAAGCACTGACTCATAAGTGAATAACCTATTTTTTAATGTGCACAAAAACTAAAAATTAGAATTATCCTCCTGACTTGAGAGACTGTTTTACTCAGGACCCTTTAGCCTTTTTCACACCCAGCACTCCCTGCCTTCCGTTCACGCTCCATCCTCATAGTGAGGCATCATTCCTGTCCCCATAGCAAGTGCAGATGCTCCAAGGGAGCCTCTATTTGCCCCAATTCTCATTCCCGTGGGTCTCTGCACAAGCAAATTTCTTCCCCCTAACCTCTTCCCTCTCAACTTCGCTTTCCACCACAGCATAAATCACCCTAATTTCTATTTTGCTTCCATATCTTGTTCATTGTCTATCTCACTCCAATAGGAAGGGAATGGCCAAAGGCACGGATTCTTATCTGCCTTGTGCAGCCCACTAGCTCAAGTTGAGAATGCCTGAACACAGTAAGATTCCAACAGATATTTGATAAGAGCAAGAAAACCAAGGCAATGAAGGGATAAATGAGTGATCTTTCAATGTTACACTGAAAGTCACACTGTTGCTAGCATCAGAGTGAACAGGTAGGCCAAGTGAAGTGTACGCCCTGTGGCTTACTTCAACCCTGTTTGGTCAAAACTAGGTACAAAGAAAACATTGCTATTGAGACAGAACCCTTCTACCCACTTCAACTTTGTAGTGCCTGCTGTTGTAGAAATGATTTTTCTAAAAAAAAAAAGCTTGCTGGGCCCGGCGTGGTGGCGCAAGTGGTTAAAGGTCCTCACCTTGCACCCCCGGGATCCCATATGGGCGCCGGTTCTAATCCCGGCAGCCCTGCTTCCCTTCCAGCTCCCTGCCTGTGGCCCGGGAAAGCAGTCGAGGACGGCCCAAAGCTTTGGGACCCTGCACCCGCGTGGGAGACCCGGAAGAGGCTCCTGGCTTCAGATCGGCATAGTATCGGCCGTTGCGCTCACTTGGGGAGTGAATCATCGGACGGAAGATCTTCCTCTCTGTCTCTCCTCTCTGTATATCTGTCTTTCCAATAAAAAAATAATAAAAATAAATCTTTAAAAAAAAAAAAAAAGCTTGCTAGTAGCCAAGCAACTGGATAAGAAGCCGAGTCTGAAGGATAAGGTGCTTTATTTATGGCTGCAAAACTATTTAAGTGAGAAAGGGAGCAAGCAAATGACACGCCTTAGGTTTTAGAGCACTGTGAGCAGGTTAATAATGAAATGTTGCTATTCCTTGGCGGGGGCGGGGGGGGTACTACTAAACAACCTATACAAAGGAGAACAAAACAGTTCTTGGAAATTGCTGTATCATTTTTGTTATTCAAGAGAATTCAGCAGAGGTGGTCCCGGAATTTTATACCCAGATACATTCCTAAGGCAAGCTACAAGAGTTTCACCTGGGTAGTTTCTGAAACATTCAATCAACACTGAGCACATTTCTCTGCACCACGAACTGATCAATTAGTCCCGTTTCTTCGACACTGTTGTCCAATGCACTTCTGTGCATCAGAATTCTACAACTTCTAGAAGC